CATTAGCCAGCATGACCAGCAGAGTATTGTGTAGAACTTAAGTTGCATTTTACATTTAGATAGTGACATTTAGAGTAAAGAAAGTTTACAAGTCCTAAGACATCGTGCATTGCAAACCACAAGACTTATGATTACACTGATATTATATAGTTCAAAGAAAGGGAGTAAATAGGGATTTGCATCTCTTTTTTTTGAGTTGGAGTCTCACTCTGTCGCCCAGGCTGGAGTGCAGGGTGTCACGCTCACAGCTACCCCAGCGTCAATCCACTGGGCGCAGGCGATCCTTCCACCTCAGCCTTCCAAGTACCCGGAACTACAGGCGTGTGCTACCATGCCCGGCTAACTTTTTTCTTGATTTATTGTAGAGATGAGGTCTCACCAAGTTGCCCAGGCTGTTTTCAAACATGTGGGCTCAGGTAATTCCCTCACCTTGGCCTCTCAAAGTACTGGGATTACAGGCTTGAGCCACTGTGCAGGTGTGGGATTTACATCTTTGGGCATAGTCTGCAGGGAAGCCAAGGATCCCCTGAAGCTACTTATTGGGAATGCATAGAAGACAAGGGGACTCTTAGTAATGTGCTCAGGAATGTGCAGAAGCACTTGAATCCTCGCCATGCCCTTCTCTAGGGGCTGTGGCAATGTGGACGGGCATCAGCGGGTCTCTGTATTAATGGGATCTCAGTATGTAACCCAGGGTAGTCTTGAACTCCTGGTCTCAAGCGATCCTCCCGCCTCCGCCTCCCAAAGTGCTGGGCTTATGGGCGTGAACCACCACACCCGGCCAGAACACTTGCTATGCTTGTGGGATATCCATGCCATGAAATCCAATAAGCAGGAATTGGGATACACAGATCTGAACTTAGGCAGAAGGAAGGGCTGGGATGGGAGCCGGGCAGTGAATGATGTCAGGGACGTGAGCAGTTCACCCAGGAGGAGGGAAGCACAACCGCGTGTGGCCTAAGAGATTTCAATGCAGGGAGGAGCTGACTCCCCGATGTGGCCCTTGAGCTTCTGACTCAGGAGGTCGGGGTGGGGCCTGGGAATCTACTTTGCAACCTGCACATCTGCTCCCATGATGAAGGATGGAAAATTCCATCCCAGGTGAGGCAGGGCTTTGGCTGGGAGAACAGGAGAGAACTGGAGCGAGGCTGAGAGGAAGGTTCACTTTCCAGGTCTTTTTAGTTTTTAATTTTTGAGTCAGAGTCTCACTCTGTCGCCCAGACTGGAAGTGCAGTAGCATGCTCACAGCCACCCCAGTGTCGACCTACTGGGCTCAGGTGATCCTTCCGCCTCAGCCTTTCAAGCAGTTGTAACTACAGATGCGTGTTACCATGCCTGGCTAATTTTTTATATGTATATAGTAGAGATACAAGTTGCCCAGACTGGTCTTGAACTCCTGGGCTTAGGCAATCCTCTCACCTCGGCCTCCCAAAGTTTACACTCCCAGGAGTGTAAATTGATAGGCTTGTTATCTTTTATTATCTCTCATAATGCTGTTCATGAGAGTGAGTAGGTTCAGCCCGGTAGTTCTTCTGGTCCTGCTCAGAGCCTGCACTCTTGTCCATAGCTAGGCAGCACTGGGCTAGGTGCTGGTAGTTCCAGGCTGACCTGGCCCCTGCCATCTTGAAACCCAGCCTGGTTGGGACATGCATCGTGATCAGTTCTCTGACAGAATAGCACTTGGCGTGTCAGCAAGGGCCTGGGCGGATGGAATTCCCTGGCCCATAGGGACTGCTGCCCTTTCCAGCTCACAGATGAGAGGACAGAGGGGTACACAGAGGTGCGTGCCCACAGTCTTAGAGCCAGTCAACAGCAGAGCAACAATATCTGATACGGACCTCAGCTCTTAGGCACTGTGCAGTACCCTGAGGCAGGATGCAAGTTACTCTCTTACTGAGAAAAGTGAAGCTCAAAGAGGTTAGGCAGCTGGCCTGGGGTCTCACAGCTGGCAGGCTTTTCTGGATCGCGTCTGACCACAGGATCTTCTTTGGGCCTGGTGGCTCCACTTAGTGTCTTCCTTACTGAGGTTCCCCAAGGCATTTCCCAGCAGGCTCCTAGCTGTTTTCAGCAGCGACTCTGCGTTAACTCTTCTTTGTCCCCAATTGCAGGAGTCCTCCCGCTCAGCATGGGAAGAGGTACGGCAGTGGCAGGAAAGAAACGCCCACTGTTTTCCAGCCTGTCCCTTGCTTCTCACTACCCTCATGAGGCTGTAAAAATGATCACGTGTTCCATGCTAAAACAGACCTGGAGGTTGGGTGCAGTGGCTCAAGCCTGTAATCCCAGCACTTTGGGAGACCGAAGTGGGAGGATCACTTGAGCCCAGGAGTTTGAGACCAGCCTGGGCAACACAGTGAGACCTCATCTCTACAAAAAAATCAAAACATTAGCTGGGTGTGGTGGCACACATCTGTATTCCTAGGAGGCTGAGGCGGGAGGGTCACCTGAGCCCAAGAGGTTGAGGCTGCTGTGAGCTGTGGTTGTGCCACTGCACTCCAGCCTGGGTGATGGAGTGAGACCTCAATTCAAAAATAAAATAGTGTTTGATTGTTCTGCAACCTTACTAACAGTATTTTCACTCATTTTTTAAATTCTGTTAAGTGTGTGAAGTTGAAGCCATTTCAACTACTTCTGCTCTAATAAGACTCAAAGAAAATTGTCCCTGAACCTAGTGTTGGAAGCTAGAGGAAATTCAACTGAGAACTCAAGTACTTGGAGGAAAAATAATTATTAATTAATGTTTTCAAGTTCTTGCCATTAAATATTTTGTTTCTCAAAAAAAAAAAGTGGGCTCTGGAGCCAGAAGACAGGGTTATCATCCCAGGTCTGTGGCTACTAACCACATGACCTTAGGAAAGTAGTTTAACTACCTTGAACCTCAGCTTCCTCATCCAAAAATGGAGACAGTAGGACCTAGAGGACAGGATGGCAGAAGGGCCTAAACTAGGTAATTCACATAACAGCAAACTGCAGGTAGCTGGCACACAGTAAGCGCTCTGTGGAAGACTAGGTGTAATGAGTGGTAGTGACAGGTAGCTGACACACCACTGTTTAATACATGGGTGTCTACATACTCAGGACCTGGGCCACGTAGTTTGTTCACTTGTTAAATTTTGTGCCAACTCCTAAGCAATGATACCCCAGTAACAACGAGCACATTCTGCATCCAGATCTTGGTTTCTAAACACCATACTCTGCTAAAAGCAGCCAGGGTTGCCTGGAGAAATGACTGCAGCAGGGAAGCCCAGAGGGTCTTATTGCATCAGAAAGCAAGTAAATACTCCAAGGAGCTGGATTCGTGTCCAAAGGACATAGGAGTTGGCTTCAAGACACCTCACTGACCAAATCTCGGGGAAAATTAACTAGGAAAAAATAATGTATTATAAAATATGAAATTTTTAAAAAAAGAATCCAGTCCATAGTCTCAAAAAAAGGGGGGGGGGGGTGGGGTAGAGGAATGCCAGTTAGTAAAGACAGAACCAGGGAGAAAAAAATCAGTTTTGCAAGTATCAGTATATCTGACTCAGCAGTGATGCTAAAACTGATACAGAGGGCTATTTTCTGTCCATATTGCCACAACCCCTAAAGGAAGGCATGGCGAGTGTTCAAGTGCTCCTGCATGTACCCACATTCCTGAGAGTTAACAAAAGTTACGCTTCCCCTTATCTCCTATGCACCCCAGTAACTTACTTCAAATAATCCTTAACGTCCCTGCAGACTGTGCCCAATTAATGGAGAGATGTAAACCCCCATTTACTCCCTTTTGTTAGTAGTTACAGGTTTGAATAATATAGTTTCAAGGTCATCACAAGTCTTGTGATTTGTGTAACATTTGTATATAACAGCATGTAACAATGTACAATGTCTTAGGCCTTGTTAACTCCCTTTACTCTATGGCAGGCTTGATTCATGCTTCTGCCAGGTGTTACTGATAAAAAGCTGTGAGATACCTCTGGTAACTGGCACCAGAAAATGTGGAGCATGAAATGTCATTATTGACAAAATGTGGCTGTAACTTAGGTTCTATACAAGGCTCTGCTGGTCACATAGTCAATGTATTGGTACCAACAATTCTGAACTTATAAAAGTAGACTGTAAAACTTAAAGGGAGAACAAAACCATTTTAAAGAGACCAAAAGCTCACTCTGCTCCCTGGATTCGAATCCAGAAATAAAATTCTTTCTACCAGTTCCCTGCCCCTTTGGTTTATTGGTATCAAAGGAGAGCAGTCAGGTGTTACTCAGAGCGTAACAAAACCACTGAGTGAAAGGCTGATAGAGGACATTCACATGGCCTCAATGTATCACCCTGGGAGTATTTATTAATTGCAAATAGAAAAAGGGTGCCAGTCACCACTGGAGAAGCAGCGCAGACACCACCTTTACCAAGTGATCCAGCTTCACATATTGGCGATGTCCCATTACTGATGAGACAAATTGACAATATATGTGGCAGGTACACATCATCCAAGGGTGTCCTGCTAAAAAAAACCTAACCTGAATCTAATCACGGGGCAGGGAAGAGGATCAGACAAATCAAGATTACAGGATATTCTATAAGACTGGTCTGGACTCATCAAAATAATCAGTGTGATGAGAGTATCTCCCCAAAAGAAGGGAAGGACTTCTGAATTAAGAGACTGAAGAGACATGACAACAGGCAATGAGTAGGTATTGACTGGATCCTGGATTGGGGTGGGTCTTATTTGGGATAATTGAGGAAATTTGAATATAAAGTGTATATTAGCTAATAGTATTGCATCGATATTAAACTTTTTGGGTATGAGAATGGCATTGAGGTCATGGAGAATAATGCCTTTGTTCTTAAGAGATATACGCTTAAGTCTTTATGACACATTTCTGCAGTTTGGTTTTAAAGGGGACAGAACGCTGCGCAAGAGTTCGCGCAAGCGCATAGCCCTCTATTTCCGAGACTTATTTCGCGCGACTGAAGAATCACATGTGCCTACGAGGCGGAAATGCACGACAGCAGGTTCCGGTGACAGCGTCGGCGGCAAAGGCGGCGGCATGGAGGAGGTGCCTCACGGTGAGCTTGTGGAAGGGGCGTGGGTGGCGGAGCTGAAGGGACGCGAACTGCTCTCACTTTAATCTTGTCTCTGCGCAGACTGTCCCGGGGCCGACAGCGCCCAGGCGGGCCGAGGGGCCTCGTGTCAGGGATGTCCCAACCAACGGCTGTGTGCTTCTGGAGCTGGCGCCGCTCCGGACCCGGGTGAGGAAAGGGCAGACCCGGAAGGGGCGGGGCGCAGGCAGAAAAGGGACGGGACCTGAGGGATGAGTGACAGGGGCGGGCCAAGTCGTACTTTCTTGTATATTAAGAAGGGCGGGGCCCAGGGGAGACGGGGTGTGGAAAAGTAGGCGGTGTGGGGGCGGGGCCTGATTAATGAGTGACAGGCGGGACCTTTAAAAGGGGAGGGGCGAAGGCCGTGGCAGGGAAGGAGGACGGAGCCTGAAGGACCGGTAACAGGCGTAAAGTCAAAAGGGACATTAAGAGGAGTGGGTCCCGGGCAACTTGGCGAGACCTCATCTCTACAATAAATAAAAAATTAACCAGGCGTGGTAGCGCGCGCCTGTAGTTCCCGCTACTCGGAAGGCTGAGGCGGAAGGATCGTGGAGCCCAGCAGGTCGAGGCTGCGGTGGCCGGGAGCGGCCACTGCACTCCAGTCTGGGCGACAGAGTGAGACTCCAACTCAAAAAAAAAACAACAAAAAGAGGAGTGGGTCGCGAAGATGGCGGGCGTGGAAAAAAGTCGGCCAGGAAGAGTGCGGGGCCAGATGTTTGAGTGACAGTAAACAAAGGCGGAGGGAACAGGGGATAAGCTTTGAAGTCAGGGAGCCCCTGGCCTTAAAATCCTAGCTCTGCCAACTAATATCTTTGGACAAAATATTCTTCCTTTTGAGGAGAGATTTCCCTATTCATGCCACAGAAATCTGTGTTGGTCACCTCATCGGCACCATGGTGTGTACTGGGGACATGGCTGTGAAGGAGACAGACGCCGTCACTGCCACAGTGGAGCTTAGTTTAATAACAAGAGCCAGCGACTAAATCGCTACAGAGACAGGCACTCCGAAGGAAAAATTTGACCCGGGGAAGGGAAAAGTTTGATTCTGGGCACCTACTTAGAAGAGTCTTATAAAGCAGGAGCCTGGGGAGAGAATCTTGAAGGCATTTAAAGAGGGATTTGAGTTGGATTCTTGGGTCCACTGCAAACAGTGTCCTGACCTCTGTGAGTCTCTGGTTTCTCATCAAAAATGGAGGGAGAAATAGTTCTCTCTGTCAACCCATATGAGAGGCTGAGGCAAGAATCTCTGTTAGTCAAGGTGTACTGAGCCAGAACTTGAGGGTGCACCCAGGAAAATACAAGTCTCAGAACTATCTGGCCTGTTCTTCAGGTTTCAGGAGACTCAGTAGTTATACATTTCTTTAAAAGGGAAAAAAGGGGACAGACAGAAAATGAGGCACATGGTTATATTCTTGTGAGATTTTAATTAGTGCCCAGTAAATCTATGCTATTCATAAGACAAGGGGAGTATTATGCAGACTCTCAGGGTAGAGGAGGTCTTGGCTTGTCTTTGTTCTGCACCTGGGAAAATAAGCCTGTGAGGGACAACAGGCAAGGAGCTAGGTTATAGGCCTCAAGTTACAGTTGACACATCCTTGTCAACTGTAGGAGGATATAGTCTGGAAAGGTTCAGGGACCAGCAAAGAGGTTACTTATGAACAGTTTGTGAGGGCAGTCATCCAGAGATGTGTGAGGCCTTTTGTGGGGTCTGGCCAATGGGTAATGCTTGGACACAAGGCTCCAAAGGAGCAGCTATCTATTCAGGGAAAGGACAGCAGTGTTGCCTGACTCAATCTCCAGGCTTGACTTTCCCTTTGGCATGAGTTTGGGCGGTCCTGCGACTTTATTTTTCTTTACACCTCAGAGTGTTTAAAGGATTTGCAGTAAGGTGAAATATCGAAACCACAGCAAGCTGGGCATGGTGGCTCACACCTGTCATCCCAGCACTTTGGGAGGTAGAGGCAAGAGGATTGCCTGAGGCCAGGGGTTCAAGACCAGACTGGGCAAGTTGGTGAGACCTCACCTCTACAATACATCAAAAAGGTAGCCGGGCGTGGTGGCACACACCTGTGGTTCCAGCTACTTGGAAGACTGAGGCAGAAGGATCACCTGAGCCCAACAGGTTGAGGCTGTGGTATCCATGAGCATGCTACTGCACCTCAGCCTGGGCGACAGTGAGACTCCAACTCAAAAAAAAGAGAAGCCACAGCATGTATATAAGAAAGGATGGTTTTCACTGATAGAACTTATCATGTGCTTGCTGTCTGTGAGGCTTTCTCAGCCTCAATGCGACTGATGTTTGGGGCCGGATCACTCTATTGTGGGAGCTCTCCTGTGCATTGGAGGAGATTTAGCAGTGTCCCTGGCCTCTACCCACTAGATGCCAGTAGCACCCCCTCCTGTGACAACCCAAAAGTGTCTCCAGACCTTGCCAAATGTCCCCTGGGGGAATTTGCCCCAGATTGGGAACCATTGCTGTATGAAGCTAGGACTACAGCTGTGAACAGTGACTGTTTCGGACAGTCCCCACCTTCATGAAGATTGTGTTCTAGCAGAGGGGACAAAAATGTAAACCAAAAAATATCACCATTTCAGATGTGTGACAACCTTATTTTCCTGCTAGCGCTTATTACCATTGCCTAAGAGGCAGTTTACAGGATCCTTTAAAACAGTCCCAAGGATTTAACTCCTAGCTGACTAGAAGAGTGACCTTTGAGATTTGGGCAGGGACATCATCACCTGAACCTTGGCTTTCTTTACAGCCATAGAGGAAATCAAAGAGAAAATGAAAACCGTGAAACACAAAATCTTGGTGTTGTCTGGGAAAGGCGGTGTTGGGAAAAGCACATTCAGCGCCCACCTCGCCCACGGCCTGGCAGAGGATGAAAACACACAGGTGGGACCTTGGGGGAGATGGGGGTTGCTCCTTCTGTCTGCAGTTCATGAGGGCTCTTGGAGAACTCCTTCTTAGACAGTTGAATTGGCTTCTTCGGAACCTCAGTCCTGCGGAGAACAAAGAGCTTCTAGCAGTTGGGTGAAGTTTGGTGTCTCTGGCCGAGAAATGGACAGCAGGTGCACACCTCCCCTTGCAGACTGGTGACTTAGGACACTGAACTCAGGCTTCTTCCTCCTCTTTATTAACCCTGTGCTTTTCTCCAAGCCAGGGGGCTGCCAACCAGAGTCGATGGGCCAAGTCCAGCCTGCCTTTTGTCTTTATGGCCTGGGAGCTGATGTCTCTATTCACATTTTTAAATGGTTGTTTTTATTTTATTTTATTTTATTTTAGTATTTACTTATTAATTTTGAGTCAAGTCTCACTTTGTCGCTCAGGCTAGAGTACCCCAGATGATCACAACTCACCACAGCCTCAATCCCCTAGGCTCAGGCAGTCCTTCTGCCTCAGCCCTTTGAGTAGCTGGGACTACAGGCACACAACACTATGCCTGGCTAATTTTTTTTGATTGTTTTGTAACAACAAGATTTCACTGAGTTGCCCAAGTGGGTCTCAAGGTCCTGCAATCTCAAGTTATCCTCCGGCCTCTGCCTCCCAAAGTGCTGGGATTATAGGTGTGAGCCACCACGCCTGGCCTTAAAAGGTTATTTTATTTTATTTTATTTTATTTTTTGAGTTGGAGTCTCACTCTGTCGCCCAGACTGGAGTGCAGTGGCACGCTCAGGCCACTGCAGCCTCAACCTGCTGCGCTCCGGTGATTCTTCCGCCTCAGCCTTCCAAGTAACTGGAACTACAGGTGTGCGCTACCATGCACAACTAATTTTTTGATTTATTGTAGAGATGGGGTCTCGCCAAGTTGCCCAGGCGGGTCTTGAATCCACGGGCTCAGGCAGTCCACTCACCTCAGCCTCCCTAAGCGCAGGATTACAGGCTGAGCCACCTAGCCTGGCAAAAGTTTATTATTTATTTATTTTTTATTTTTTTTTTTTTAGTTGAAATCTCACTCTGTCACCCAGACTGGAGTGCATTGGCCGCTCCCAGCCACCGCAGCCTCGACCTGCTGGGCTCCGGTGATCCTTTTGCCTCAATCTTCCAAGTAGCTGGAACTACAGGCGCGCACTACCACGCCCGGCTAATTTTTTGATTTATTGTAGAGATGAGGTCTCACCAAGTTGCCCAGGTGGGTCTCAAACCTGCGGGCTCAGGTAATCCACTCACCTCAACCTCCCAAAGCACGGGATTACAGGCTGAGCCACCAAACCTGGCTAAAAGGTTATTTTTAATTGTTATATATGTACCTACATATTATCCTTGATCTTGCCCACAGAGCCTGAAAAAGTTGCTGTTGGCCCTTGCAGAAAGTGTCTGCAACCCTTACACTAAGGCCCTTCGTTTCTACCCAAGTATTCAGATAAGCATGAGATCTCCCATTACCCAGTGCTGCCCTCTGGGTCTCAACTTTAGTGGGAGATGCAGTGGGCGGCTGAGAGCACAGGCTGTAGAGGTGGGCAGCCCAGGTTCACATCCCAGCTCTGTCCACACCGCTGCTGTGACCTCAGGCAGCTTGCCAGGCTTGCTCTGCCTTGGTTTTCTCATCTATAAAATGAGACTCAGAGTACTGAGTGAGATGATGCATGTCAGGTGATTGGCACAGGGTCTGATGCTCAGTACATGTCTGTGACAACCATCGTTATTACTTTATTCACTAGCTGGGATGATGATTATTTCTGCTTTAGAGATGAATATGTAACCCACTGGAAATACAAGGCTGAGCATGTTTAAAATATACTTGTTGTTTCATTGTTCTATTAGTCAATACTCTCTTGCCCTTTGAAAGTCAAATTTGTATTGGCTGGCCAAGAAGTCTGTTTTCTCAGATCGTCCATATTATCTAGAATAATCTTTGCTTTTAGAAGCAGTCAGGAATATTCTTAAACAGCTCTCTGAAGATGGGCTTTAACCCAGTCAGTTGCAAGTAACCGCTTGTGAGTGGACAAGTGTTTATATCACTTAATTCCACATAATTACGTCCTAAAGTCCTTACTGCACCCATGTCTAGACTTCACAATATATGGAAGGAAGGCACCATTCAGTGTGGGCATATAGCTACATAAGCTTTATTTCTTTATGTAGTGGCAGTTTAGAAATGTTTTTTCCCAGGCAGACCTGCTTAGGACGGTGAAAACATCATTGTCTACAAAGTGTCAGCACATGGTAAATAAACACAGACTATGTCTTGTCAATAAAGCCAAGTAGCACAGCATTCTCCCGGCCTGTGCCCGGTAGGGTGGTGGGCACGCCCTGACCCTTTCCTGCCTGCCAGCTGGGCACGAACTCTGTGCTAGGCTATTCCATGTCTGCTTGAGGCAGGCGGGTGTCTGTCATCTTATCTGTAAAGGCCTTGGATCAAGGGAGAGCAGAATTGGAAAACAACCCTGACTGATCACAGGCCAGCCAGGGGATGTGGGTACTTTGGTGAGGGTGGAGTGAGCCTCCATAGCATAAGCTGGGCCATGAGACAGCAGAGGGTCACACACCATCTTTCCACCACGGGAGTCACTGACTCCCATCAGGTATAAATGCATGCTCTTGCTGGGTCATCTGAAAGGCAAGTGTCATCAAAAGCAGCACTCAGTGTTTCAGGACTGGAGTGTTTGAGGCCCTTCTCTGGGCTTATAGGCTCCAGAGCTGGAAGGTACCTTAGCGACCCTGAATACACATTTCACAGCAGAAGCCCATGTGGGTGAAGCTCAGAGAGAAGAAGCAATTTGTGCAGGGTGACACAGCATCAGAGGACCGGAAGCTGGGACAAGAACCCTCCTCCTCTGCCCTCTTCATAAGGGAAGTTTGGGGTGCTGGTGAAGGAAATACTTTGGGTCCTGACAGTCCTGCAGCATCCGTGCCCTCCACTCCCCACAGCAAGGGCTGCCTTTACAACCAGCTGCGCACCAGAGCTCCTGACAAGGGTGAACACAGGTGCTGCTCTTGGCTTTGGTTCTCTGGCCTAAGCAGAAAGAGAATTAACAGGGCAGATATCAGAGCTGTGATAGATCAACAGTTAGTCTGAGAGAGACAGGACAGGCCGCCCTGGCCATCTGGGCTGCAGCCTCGCAGGTACTACATGGGTGGGTGTTCGTGCTGTTGCCTTCATCCCCCTCGGTGGTGGGGAGTGTGACTTTTCAGAGGGACTATTCATTGCTCCCAAACCCGAGGCTACTGAGGACAGTCTTTGCCAGGGCCATAGTGATGGTGTAATGTCCCAAGTATGAGACTCTGATGTAAAAGGTCTGTGGATCATCAACACACATCAACAAGATCAAGGTGAAGGAAGAGCTATCAGTTTTCAGATGGAGTAAGTCACTGCCTGTGCTGCTTGGGCTGTCCAGCAGAGGGTGTGGGAGCCTCCACCTGAGCTCTGGCCGCAGGTTGGAGATGGTGCTGAGGAAGCAGGAGGTTGGGTTTGTTGAGAGGACTGAAGAGGGAAGCAAGAAACAAGTTTGAGGCAAGTTCAAAAGTTGCCCAGAGGTGCAGCACTTTGGCTCTGAGATACTACAGCTTTCAAGATGAATATGAGCCCTGCTCTCCAGAAGATTCCTGAAGACCTTCTCAAACCTCATGTATCAGGGGAGAGAAGCAGAAAGTCTGGGGTAGAATCATCTGAAGCTGCACCCAAGTCACAAGCAAAAGGCTTTCTAGATTTCCTTCTTGTGTGAAGTTTCTGTTTTGAAAGTTTAGCCTGGGCTGGCGCGGTGGCTCATGCCTGTAATCCCGGCACTTTGGGAGGCTGAGACGGGAGGTTCACTTGAGAACAGCCTGGGTAACATAGCAAGACCTCATTTCTCCAGAAAATAAAAAAATTAGTGGGGCGTGGTGGCATGTCTATAACCCTAGCTACTTGGGAGGCTGAGACAGAAGGATCACCTGAGCCCAGAGGTCAAGGCTGGAGTGAGTCGTGATTGCACTTCTGCACCCCAGCCTGGGTGACAGAATGAGACCTCAACTCAAAAAAGAAAGAAGGAAAGTGTAGCCTACGCTGTCGTATGCCTTCAGTATCATAGGAAAACAGGGATTGGCCGGAACTCAGCTGGAGGTTCCACTCTGGTCCTCCTTACCAGGCCCCATGGAGTGGTGGGTAGAGCTCAGTTTATGTCCCAGCTCTGTTCCTTGCTCACTGAAAAAGTCTCCGGCCCCCTCTGAACCTTAGTTTCCTCTTCTGTAAATCAGTGATAATGATACCCACCTCCTAGGCACGTGGCAGGGGCTGAGTAAATGGTGGCTGAACCTGAGTCTCCAAGTGACCTGGCACCAGGTCCGTAAGATCACCCTAGAGGACCTGGGCCGGGCTGGGGGCAGCAAGGCAGTCAGTGTTGAGGGACTCTGAGGTCATTGTTACGACTCTCCCTCAGGAGAAGCTGACTATTCCAAGTGTGACCTGGTTTCTCTGTGCCTTTTCCCTGTCCTTTCCTATAAGCCCAGTCCTTTCCTGAGCATGCGTATCTGGAGTTTGTGCAGTCAGTTACATAACTGCTTTGGTCTCTTCTTTTTCCCCAGATTGCACTTCTGGACATCGATATATGTGGGCCATCGATTCCCAAGATCATGGGACTGGAAGGAGAACAGGTAACAGCTCTGTTTCAGAGCTCAGGAAATTGCTGTCTCAAGGCCAACCATGTAGCACAGCACGACCTCTCTAAACAGAGGGCAGGCAGGGCGCCGACATTTTCGTTGGCTGTGATGAACTCGGGTAAGTGCTCACTAGTCCATCTGTATCAACAATCCGTCTACTTTAACCACAGTGGTGAATTTGGGGGCAGAGTTATCTATAAAGTCCTTCTGCACCATTTGAGAAGCATTGGTTTCGATACTTCTTAGAGGGGAAGGGAAACAGCAAGTGAAATGCAGAAGTCAGATGTGGAAATTTAGCTCTGACCAGGAACGCTGGACTTGGGCTTGTTAGGGGTCTCTACCCTAGAAGCAAGGGAATGTTTCTGCCCTTGTGGTCTTACCTGGGGAACTGAGACTGTGGGGTAGGGGAGTGACGTGGGCTCTGTGCAAACATGGGTCCCTCCCTTATTGCTAGCTAGAAGCTGTCTAAGAAAGGGTTCCCCCAAGGGTCATGTATGGCAGGTAGGACTGGGAACTAAGGTACCCCAGGACTTTCCAGATCGGTTCATTCTTTAACAAATGTGTTAATTTTATTCTGAGGATGCAGCCAGCAAAAGACCCCTGCCCTCTGGCCAGGTGTGGTGGCTCATATCTATAATCTTAGCATTCTGGGAGGCTTAGGCGGGAGCATCGCTTGAGTCCAGGAGCTTGAGACCAGCCTGGGCAACAGCGAGAACTTGTCTCAACTAAGAAGAAAAGCATTATCTGGGCATGGTGACATGTGCCTGTAGTCCCAGCTACTTGGGAGGTTGAATGGAAGGATCACTTAAGCCCAAGAGTTTGAGGCTGCAGTGAGCTGTGTTTGTACCACTGCACTCCAGTCTGGGTGACAGAGTGAGACACTGGCTCTATTTAAACGATAACAACGTCAGCAACAACAACCACAAGCCTGTTTTGGGAGAGAGCAGATGATAAATAATATAAAAACTAACTAAGGGTAAGTGGACAGATGTGGTGGGGAGAGCTGGTATTTGGGAAGAGGTGTTCAGGGACTTCCCTCTAAGACAGCATCACTGAGGGCAGCATTTGAGCAGCTGGGGAAAGCAGGCTTTAGGTGGGAGCATCCTGGGCTGAGGGGGCACATGCGGGAGCCCTGAGGCAGGGGCGTCTTCACGCCCCTGGCAGAGTGACGGGGGGCAGGCCTTGTGGGTGCTGCTGAGGCCTTGAGGTTTGCATCTGTGCTTGCGGGGCAGGGAGTGACCACCCTCCGAGGCAGAGCCGCGGGAGCCACACGTGCACAATCAATACCCCTCAGTAACACATGGGAGCACACACCCCAGGGTGGGTGTGAGTCACTGTAATCATACCCAAGTATTCCATAGAAATAGACATTTTTAAATAAGAGGAAAATAAACCACAAACTCCACTGCTTTGTCCTGCACTGTCAGCTCATCTCTTCACCTCTCTTTTAACACCTGTGGACTTAGCAACCAAGTATCAATAGGAATGAATTGTTTGTTTTTTACAGAACTTCAGAGTCAGTCACAAAGGACTGTGATTCCACTCACTGTGAAGTGTGCAGAGCAGGCAAACCCCCAGAGGTGGAGAGTAGTTTAGGGTCACCTGAGGCTGGGAGAGAGGAGAGATTAGAAGGTGGCCCTGGGAGGCAGGGCTTCTTGGAGTCATGAACGTGTTCTAAAACTATGGTTGCTGCACACCTCTGCAAATAGACACAAAGCCATGAAGTTGTGTACTTCCAGTGGGTGACTTGCATGGGCTGTGACTTACACCTCAAGAAAACTCTTGAGAAGACTAAGAGTGGGTCTGGTAGTGGCGCCTCTATTGCTCTGAAGAAGCGTAAGCTATTGAGACTGGGTGTTATTGAGCCACTTGCCTTCTGGTGTCCTGCACAGAGGCGGTGCAGGGTGGGGCCTTGGGTGCCAACAGACACTTGCTGGAGGGAGGAGTCTGCATCTTGACCCCACAAAGCTTCCCTCTGCCCCTCTTGGGGCAGCAGGTTCGGAATCACACAGGTTATTCCTTTACTCCTGAGCTTAGACAGAGCAAGCTCACTGCTCCAGTCACCTGTGTTTTCTCAGCACCCCGAAGCGATTTCCATCACTCTTAAAATACTTCAGACCCAGTGGTGTATTTGAACTTGTGTAGCTTTGGGTCCCTGACTAGGTACCCAGGCAGGGTTTCAAAAATAACCCAACTTGGGGAGCTAAGGATATTTGTATCTTCCGTTACCCCCGCTCCGGCCATTCACAGCCTTTTAAGAATTTAGGCCGGGCTCAGTGGCTCAGCCTGTAATCCAGCACCTTTGGGAGGCTGAGGTGAATGGATTGCCTGAGCCC